CTTCTTCTGTGTGCCATGTCTCGATTATGGCTCTCCACATCTTCCTCCGCTTTGTATATTTTATTAAGTTTTTTTCGTTTTCCTTCTCCCTTCTCTGCAATCCATGTACACGATCTTATTAGGTAGGTTACTCGCTGTTTCTATCTGTCTCTTTTGCATTCGATATATTCTGTGAGTATCAAACTCGCCAAGCCGCCTTTTCTCATTATGTGTCCTAGAAATTTCGACTCTTTATGATTCTAAGTAAAAACGTTCTTTTTGTTTCACTGAAGATTGATAGGTATATAGATAATGGTGATAGATAGATAGATAGATATTAAACAGAAATAGATAGATAGATAGATAGATAGATAGATAGATAGATAGAAAATGAGCAGCGATACATCATGAACATAGATAGATAGATAGATAGATAGATAGATAATGAGCAGAGATAGATAGATAGATAGATAGATAATGAACAGTGATAGATATATTTTGTTCCCATTATCCTTAAACGTCCTTGTTATTCACATATTCAGTTCATTGTAATCGCCACAGCCTTTTGTTGAACGAAATCTCTGATGCCTCATGTCACTTCTTCATCTGTAAAGAGATAGTGCAAGCATCCCCTGCCATATACGAGGATTTAGATTACATAGCGGTGTTATACTCTTTTCTCTGTTTCTAACGTCACTTTCCTCTTTTCTAATGCTTTGCTTAGAATTTGGCGTTTGCGCTTCTTTGCTTGTTTCTTTGCTTAACGGCACATCAACTGTTTATGGGTCATTTAATGCCGAAATTTAATTCTCTTCATAACATTAATCATTTCATTTACAAAAACGTATTGCTAGTATTTTTTTTTCTTCAAGGCGAGAGTGCCACTCGTACTCAAGGGGGGTACAAAGTGTGAAAATTAGATAAAAGACTGGGTAGAGGGGGGATGTGGATAAAAAAAAGAACGAGGATTTAAGCATCAGAAGATGACGATTGACGTTACATTTAAAGTTTTGAAGATTTTAGTTATCAGGTAAGAGGAAGGGAGTTCCGCTGTCGGGAAGGGTGAGTGATGAAGCTGTTGTAGTAGAAGAGGCGGTTGCATTTAACTGTTTCAACAGTAAAAGGGTGGGACCAAGATGCCAACCTAGTGGCTGGCTTTTATTTATGTATTCTGGGTACCAGGAAAACAGTGTGAAAATTAAATAAAAGACTTGGTATAGGGGTCGAAAGAGAATAAATAACAGAACGGGGATCTAATCATCAGAAAATGACGATTGACGTTACATTTAAACTTTTGAAGATTTTAGTTAACAGGGAAACAAGTAAGAGGAAGGGAGTTCGCTGTCGGGAAGTGCGATAGAAGCTGTTGGAGTAGAAGAGGCGGTTGCATTTAACTGTTTCAACAGTAAAAGGGTGGGACCTAGATGCCAACCTAGTGGATGGCTTCTATTTATGTATTCTGGGTACCAGGAAAACAGCTCGTCAGAGCAGTTGTCAGGCAGGAAGGACTCTGTTCGAGAGATTGGAGGTTTTGAGAAGTGTGGAACCATCTCATAATTGCTATTGTTCTTATATCTAACTTGACCAGAGTGGTAGCACCTGTTTGGGTCCTAGCTATGGGAAATAGTTAATTCCCAAACAAAATACTATGAAAGTATAAAAATACATTTTTATAGTAAAATGACTAGCAATACATTTCGTCTGTAGTTGAAGGCATATAATTGTGTTCAAAATATTTAGATTTCGGCGTTAAATAACCCATAGACCTGTTGATATGCCGCTAAACAAATAAAATTTATTATACAAGTCACTGTTTTAAGAATTTTTTTATGTTTATACATTCGTTTCATAATGTGTAACAAGTCACTGTGTTCACAAATAAATTGGTTTTAAGTAACCAATGTTAGAAAATGATTCAGGATATACTTATATGTCAAGATACCATGTGAATGTCAGTTTATATTTAGTAGTCTGTAGTAATTTCTGTTTTTCGGAACCAGTCGTAATGGCGAAATTATCAGCTTAAATATATCATGTTCGGCAATGAAAAATGGTTGCATACAACAATGTCCAACGCAAAGGGCAGTGGATTGAAAAAAATAAATCTCCACAATCGACCCCAAAAGCTGAGCTCCATAACATAATAAAAGTTACTGATGGGAATGTTGTATATCATTGGGGTATTATTCATTCAGTTTTCTTAAAACGCAATGAAACATTAAATGCACATTTATACGTCCGGCAGCTGCAAAGTGTCCATAAAAGTTTGGTCGAAAATTGCCCTGATCCTCTCTCTTTCTCTTTCTCTTTCTCCCTCTCTCTCTCTCTCTCGTTTTCTTTCTTTTCTTTTCTTTCTTTTTTCTTTCTCTCTCTTTTTTCTTTCTTTCTCTTCTATTTTTCTCTCTCTTTTTATTTTTTTATCTGTTTCTTTCTTTCTCTCTTTTTCTCTCCCTCTTGTTGCTTTCTCTTTTTCATTTCTCTCTCTCTGTCTTTCTTTCTTTCTTTATTTCTTTCTTTCTTTCTATAAAAATTTCTTTCTCATTTTCATATATACGTCCGGTATTTTGCAAATTTTGTCCAGAAAAAGACATCTTTCTTTCTTTCTTTCTTTCTTTCTTTCTTGTTATTGCTATCCAGGGCAACACAACGACGCATGCATGTTGTCCTCTTTCCCTAATTCTTAATAGTACGCATATATAAGTGACGTTTCAAACTTGATATTTGTAAATAAAAACAAAGTACAGATAACTCTTTATGAAGTCAAGGATTGATTTGATGATGTATTTATAATATAAAAAAATGATTTTAAAAATCGGTATTTTTTCGAATATGGCAGACGTCTAATGAAAGCTAATCTAATTGCTAAAAAAATATTCGCTTTTTTATTTTGTATTTTGTATTTTATTTCTGAGATTAGTAATAGTCAATATACTTATATTATTTTGAATTGTTCTTCTCATCTTTTTTGATAGACATCAGATAGTGAAGCACCAATTCAGAAGGAACGAGCGATAACTGATATCACAGTATGGCAATAATCAACAGATCAGCCAATTAATGGAAACCTGATGATGACCAAGGGGAAATCAGTCGAAACCTTGTGTTTATAACAACATCTATATCAAGCAAGATGAGAACAAAAGTTCGAAAGTACAGAGCTTTACCCATCATCCGGTTAACATCTCCTCTCCGGTCTTTTGAACGGAAGTAGATGTTTATCCCTTATTTCCGGTTTTGGACTGAGTTTACGGTTTCCTCGAAAGTCTTCTTTTTATTTTCTTCTTTTCTTACACTTTCGTCAGCCCCTTGCTTCTTGGTGGCATTGTCAACTTCCTTCCGGCTGGTGCCTTTTATTCTGTAACCAGCTGCCTTGAGTAGCTCTTGGGCCTTGTACAGAGGGAACATCATTGTAAAAAAAAAAGTAATGTTATTTTTTTGTTTTGTTTTGTTTTTTTTTACAAGCGGACCACTTAATTTAAGTAGTGCGTAATCCCGCAAAATATTAGGTTGGTGCAAAAATAATGACGTAATAATGTCGTTTTTTGATTTATATTTTAAGGAAAAAAAACGACATTATTACGTCATTTTTTTTGCACCAACCTAATAAAACGATAACAAACGTATATGTTCTATACCTTCGGAATCCGTATATTCAAAAAAAAAGTTTATTTGCATAATAAAATCAAGGTAAATTATAATCAATATATTTTATAGGGAGAGATAATTTTTAATAGGCACACATATAAGCTTAAAGCGCAAATGCGTGCAGCGTAATGGTTAGAGCTTAGGGTTTTCGGACAATAACTGAACGTCGAGCCTAGCCAGTACTTAGATGGGTGACCGCTTGAGGACACATGGCACGTGGAACTAGAACAGTCTACCCCAGTGAGCGAAATAAAGGGTTCAGTTCGACATTCCAACCACCTGAAGAAGGTCGGAGCGTACAACGGCCGAAACGTTGTGATAAATATGGCGACAAAGATGAGGACAATAGTCCAAATAATGTACATAGTACCTCATCTCAGAAATATAGACAGAACCTGCAAAGGGTTGATAAGACATAAAAAAGGATGATCAACGAATAGAGACTCGGGACAAGAAATCGGCGAGACGATTTCGAATCCTGGTCGAGTTCGTTGCATTCACTTTCACACAAATACTATTGGGAAAGGGATAAATCCATCTCTTCTTCCCTCATCCAGGAGGTTAAATAGGAGGGCAGGCAGGACTCTCTAGTCATGTTTGGCAACTAGTATAGGAGAAAGACAAACGTATGTGTGTCCCTGGGGTCTTCACATACATGAACTATAACTAATACAGTGTAACCCGGATATAAGAGAGTTGTCGAGACCGGAGAAGAAGTCTCTTATATCCGGGTTTCTCTTATAACCGGGTTTGTTCTATTTTATATACATTAACACAGGCTCTAATTTGGGAGCAGAGAAAATCTCTCTTATATCCGGGTTTCTCTTATATCCGGGTCTCTTATATCCGGGTTACACTGCATCTGCACAGCATAGCTGCAATACAGGCCGCAGACTCTGTGGGTGTTGAAGAATCGCAAACGGGCCTTAACATGCCGGGAAAAGAGCAGCCATGAGAATTCACACTTTTGCAGTGCGCCTTCAAGTTGAACGAGCTCTGATGATGATAAACTTAAAGTCACGTGATATATTACTTATATAAGTATATCCTGAAAATTTTCACCTACATCTGTGGCTTAGTAAAACAGCGACTTCATAATATAACTTGACATAGTGTCTATGTAGAATTTAGGGCAGCACGCTGACAAAGATCGCCAATCGGGGAAAATTCACGATATTATGCTAAACGAGAAAAAATGAGAAAATGTCTTACTAATTAACCCATAGCTGGGGGAGAAGAGGCAGAGTCATACCTTATCAGAATTGAATAATCAAACAAGAAATTATAATGCCGACATAAAGTGTGGGATAAATTCTACGTTACCATGAATATATAAACCGATCCCTCACCTTGTGGCCACGATAGTTTCTATACATGTATATCCCCGTTCTGGATATGACGATGAACTACATCCAACAAGAATTGATTCTTATCAATTTTTTTTTGAGAAATTGGGTGGAATTAGCACCTGTTATGGGTCCCATCTATGGGCAAATAGTATTTAACCCAAATTGATATAAAAAACACTATGAAAATGTAAAAATAGGTAAAAAAACCAGAAAAACATTTCTGAAGAAAAATTTATTATAAGCAATGACATTTTTTAAAAAAAATATTACCAGCAAAAAAAATTTGTCGGCATTAAATAATTCATTGAGAATAATATGCCGTAAAACAAAAAAAACCAATTAGTTTCTATATTTATATTCCAGAGGAATGTAAATACATCTAAAAGACATGCCTGTGTAGTGATTCAGTATTTCATTGATTGATTCATCCGTTTTCTACGGTTTATCAACAAACAAGGTTATAATACTGATGTAAAGAGGGGGATCAATTTTACATTACAATCCCTACATAAATTGATCCCTCACTTTGTAGCCATATTAGTTTCTATACATTTATATTCCAGCGAATGTAAATACATCTAAAAGACATGCCAGTGTAGTGATTCAGTATTTCATTGATTGATTGATCCGTTTTCTACGGTTTATCAACAAACAAGGTTATAATACTGATGTAAAGAGGGGGATCAATTTTACATTAAAATCCCTACATAAATTGATCCCTCACTTTGTGGCCATATTAGTTTCTATACATTTATATTCCAGAGAATGTAAATACATCTAAAAGACATGCCAGTGTAGTGATTCAGTATTTCATTGATTGATTGATTCGTTTTCTACGGTTTATCAACAAACAAGAAATTATAATACTGATGTAAAAAGGGGGATCAATTTTACATTAAAATCAATATATAAATTGATCCCTCACTTTGTGGCCATATTAGTTTCTATACATTTATATTCCAGAGAATGTAAATAAATCTAAAAGACATGCCAGTGTAGTGATTCAGTATTTCATTGATTGATTCATCCGTTTTCTACGGTTTATCAACAAACAAATTATAATACTGATATAAAAGGGGGGATCAATTTTACATTACAATCCTTACATAAATTGATCCCTCACTTTGTGGCCATATTAGTTTCTATACATTTATATTCCAGGGAATGTAAATAAATCTAAAAGACATGCCAGTGTAGTGATTCAGTATTTCATTGATTGATTGATTCGTTTTCTACGGTTTATCAACAAACAAGGTTATAATATGATATAAAGAGGGGGATCAATTTTATATTACAATTACATAAATTGATCCCTCACTTTGTAGCCATATTAGTTTCTATACATTTATATTCCAGAGAATGTAAATAATCTAAAAGACATGCCAGTGTAGTGATTCAGTATTTCATTGATTGATTCATTCGTTTTCTACGGTTTATCAACAAACAAGGTTATAATACTGATATAAAGAGGGGATCAATTTTACATTACAATTACATAAATTGATCCCTCACTTTGTAGCCATATTAGTTTCTATACATTTATATTCCAGCGAATGTAAATACATCTAAAAGACATGCCAGTATAGTGATTCAGTATTTCATTGATTGATTCATCCGTTTTCTACGGTTTATCAACAAACAAGGTTATAATACTGATGTAAAGAGGGGGATCAATTTTACATTACAATCCCTACATAAATTGATCCCTCACTTTGTAGCCATATTAGTTTCTATACATTTATATTCCAGCGAATGTAAATACATCTAAAAGACATGCCAGTGTAGTGATTCAGTATTTCATTGATTGATTCATCCGTTTTCTACGGTTTATCAACAAACAAGGTTATAATACTGATGTAAAGAGGGGGATCAATTTTACATTACAATCCCTACATAAATTGATCCCTCACTTTGTGGCCACGGTAATTTCTATACATTTATATTCCAACGAATGTAAATACACCTAAAAGACATGCCGGTGTAGTGATTCAGTATTTCATTGATTGATTCGTTTTCTACGGCTTATCAATCCATTACGGGTTATTTAAAGTCTGCAAATATGTTTGTAGATTGTATGCAATTTTTTTTAGATAATAATGGTTTAGTGATGCACGTTTTACTAATTAACCCATAGCTGGGGGCTAGTCATACCTTTTCTAAGTGTATTTGCGCGTAAGTGAATATAACGAACCCAACGAAAATTCGAACTCGGTTCCTCGATTAACAATTCCGAGCCATTATACATTACATCACCGGTAAATCCACGTCTACAGCGCCTGGTATTCCCAAACGGTCATACATCGAGATACTGACCAGGCTCGACGAACGCTTAACATCGGTGATCGTACGAAGGGAGTGGGGACCGGTGTTTCAACGCTATATGGCCGTAAAAGGTCTGAGCAAGTCCGCTTTAGCCTGAATAAGAAAAAGATCTAACGAAGAAGAAAAAATAAAATAGAAAGAAAGAAAGAAAGAAAGAAAGAAAGAAAGAAAGAAAGAAAGAAAGAAGTAAAAATAAAACGGAAAGAAAAAAGAAAGAAAGAAAAGAAGTAAAAAAATAAACAGAAAGGGAGAAAAAAGAAAAAAACACAAGACAGAAAAAAAAACAAAGAAAGAAAAGAAGTAACAAAATAAAACAGAAAGAAAGAAAGAAAGAAAGAAAGAAAGAAAGAAAGAAAGAAAGAAAAATAAAACGGAAAGAAAAAAGAAAGAAAAGAAGTAAAAAGATTTAAACAGAAAGGAAGAAAAAAGAAAAGGGAAAAGAAAAAAGAAATAAAGGAGAAAAGAAGAAAGAAAATAAGAAAAAGACAGAAAAGAAAACGAGAAAGAAAGAAAAAGAGAGAAGAAAAGATGAAAAAAAAGAAAAGAAAAGTAATAAAAAGAAGGAGGAAAAACGAAAAGGACGAAAAAGAATAAAAAGAATAAAGAAGACCCGCAAAGAAAGAGAAAAGATAAAGCAAGAGGGGGGGGGGAAGAAAAGGAAAACAGACGAGGAAAAAAAAGAAGAAAACAGAAGCAAAACAGGGTTAAAAATAGAGTTGCGATCAATTTTATCTTTTCGTGACATTCTTATTTAGGAAGAGAAAGACTAAAAAAAGGTGAGTAAGGACTTTGGGGTCAAGCCAGTGCATATTGACGTCATAGAGTACATGAGAAATCTTGAGACAATTAGGTTATTTGTTTTGTTGTGAAATAAATCTGGACAAATAAAAATTCAGAATCTCTTCCTCTCCATACACCTTTTCACTCTCACTCGCTTTGTGTGTTTTGTATGCGTACATATATACATACATATATATATATATATATATATATATATATATATATATATATATATATATAAGCAGTGTTATAAAAAGTAAAGGTATATCGTGTTTATGCTTGAGTTCCATTTCTAAGCTGCCCCATTTTATAGATGCTATATACAAATTAAATAGCCTGTATTCCAAAATCCGAAATAATCTGAAAAACAAAACTCTTCCGGTCCTAAGAATTTCAGATAAAGGATTATTAAATATATATGTGTGTGTGTGTGTGTGTGTGTGTGTGTGTGTGTGTGTGTGTGTGTTCGGCGAAGGAGAAGCGTATTCAAAAATTTGATAATTTAGCTGCAATACGGCTTTTAAAAGTTTTAGACAGTTTTGATCAACATTTCTTTTCATGCTTAGCCATAAGGAATTGTAAATGTAGGACTACCTTACATTTAAGTTAAATAATAACAATAAAAATAATTTCGTACAGGAAATATTAAGTTTTACAGAAACCTTGTTGACAATTATGTATTTAGTTACATAACAAATAAATAAAAATAATATAAATTTTGATGCTATATTCAATTTGTTTTTAGGTATTTTTCATTTTCTACTTTGTTATTGGCAGCCTTTTAGAATACTTTGGCTGCAATGATAAATTTCCTAACTTAAACAAACTGGAGCTATTTCGTTTATGCTTTGTTACCTCTCTTTTCCATTGTTGTTTTTAGATTGCTTTCTTCCAGTCATTTTGATGGGCAACAGCGAAATTCCAAAATTTAGAATGATCTTATTCCATTTCAAAAATAAAGCATGCAAAAAGGAATATTTTAAATTAACATACAACAAAAAATAAAATGATTTTGACACCTTAATGTTTTCTCTGTAATTACGCAACAATAATATAATGATATTCCGCAGACAAATCTACAGTTTATGTTACTTCATCTCATTGCATGGTTACGAACTACAGTAGTCCACCGCTATAGCGCAGGCCTTGGGGTTCAATATGGCCAACCAACGCTGCAAGTGAGCGGCAGCTTGGGGTGGATAATAGGTGATTGAATACCTACCTGATTTTTGGGCCCTATTCCGCGATATATACCGTAGACAATGGCTCGAAAAGAATATCAATAAATTATACTAATTTATGCCAATGATTCCATAAGAAATTTCGAGTAATTTGCTTTTTAATCCCTGCACTAAGTATCTAATAAAAATCTCCCGAACAGTTATTTTTTTATTCTAAATTTACATGCCTAATTCGAAAATAACAAAGAAATTTTTATAAAATCTACCGTTTTGGAGTTACGACAATAAAAGATCGGACTCATTCGTGTCGTTGTCGGCTACGGCACGGTAGCCATTATTGGCGTTGTTTGCATCAGTGCATGCGCAATAATTGAGACAAGTGAATGTCTGTTCCGCAGCAAATATATGCAAACAACGCCAGTAATGGATACCGGGACGCAAATGAGTCAGAAATTTTATTGTCCATAACTCCAAAAACGTTGATTTTATCAAAATTTCTTTATTTTCTAATTAAGCATGTAAATTTACACGTAAATATAACTATTCTGGAAATTTTTTTATTAGATATTTAGCGCGGGGCTTAAATCATGAAGAAGATGGCCCAGAAATTGGTAAAATAGAGTGGAATTTCTAAAAAGAAGTGAGCGATATTGAGGTTACGAGAGCAAAATCTTGGGGTCCAAATGGCTCACCGGCTATCGCGGTAACCTGGTTCGCCTAATAGCGGTGGACTACTGTAGACACCTAAATTGTGCTTGAAATATTCCGTAAGTGGCTTTAATTTTTTTGTAAAATACTTGAATATAATGAATAATTTGCAGTGAAAAAAAGCAATTTTTGATTTTTTGTTGAATACGCCCCTCCTGGGCCGAACGCGTAATATATATATTGATAGATATATCGGGAGAGAGTTTCGCTAAAAAATGAATATACACAAAGAAAGATGCCTAAAATTTTATAAAAAGAAAATTTTACCGTCAAAATCTTTGCGCCATTATTAAGAGGAATGGCCAAAGGATGTTTTGCTGTAAAAATCAAATTCTTTTATCCCTTTTAGAATATTTGAAGTTTTTGCTTAAAAATCGCATTTTTCGGGGAAGATAAATTATTTGAGTGTGTTTTTGTGGTGAAAAAGTTTGGTTTCTAAATTTGTGAAAGACTTATTTAGAAATGAATGGAATGATTTCTCAAATGTATTTTTTTTTTAGAAAATCTTCGTAAAAATATTTTTTTATATCTATTAGCCCCACTTATTTAATGTTAAGAAATTTCGAGAAATTCTTTTTTTGTAGCGCTTAATGTTTGTATTAATTATAAGAAGAAGTCCTTGGAGATTTTAAATCATCAATGCTTTGCAGTCAGACAAGACCCCCAGTTACAGAAAATCTGCTCTTAATCGTAAAATAAAAATATAATAAAAGTAAAACATTATATAATTAGAAAAGCTTTCAATTGCTTTTATAAATAAAAATATGTTATGGATACAATTATTTACATTGTTCAGACTGTTATCTTCATCTTCATTACCACATTCACAACGTTTCGGCCGTTGTACGCTCCGGACTTCTTCAGGTGATTGGAATTTCTAACCAATTTTACATTTTTAAGATTAATGGGTAGTTTTTTTTAAATGATAAAAAAAGGAGTTTACGTTGTATTCGTCATCTAATTTTTATTCTATTTTCTACTCCTTAACTAAATTTCTCAAACATCAAGCTGTCGGTAAATGTGCCAACATCGCATAAAATTGCTTTTCTATGATATTTAAAACTAAAAGTAATTTTTTTTTTTTTTAGTTCAGATTAATTCATTTTTAGTCACCTTTTTTTTTTTTGTTGTCTCAAATGACATTTCAGAAAAATATATTTTATTTTGAAAGATTTCTTAATAAAGAGAATTATGTTGTGTTAACAGATTTGTCATGATGGACGATTTTGTCGAGTTTACTGATAATCAGAAAGAAAATAATCAAACAATAAAGTTAATTTAAATGAGTGTGAATATTATTGGCTGGCCTACACAGAACCCTAACTAAAACTCCACAGATAATATATTGGGTAAACTGAAAACCAGGGCCCATGAATTGAGTTTGAATGAATGAACAATCGTTCTCGTACATATATCATTACTACTAAGGCCACAATTGAAATTATATTACATTCATACATCATCATGTAATGTATTTATGTGTATGTATGTATGTGTATATATATATATAATCTCATTACTGACATTTATATTTTATTATAATATCATTATAAAAGTACAAGCTTATCTGTGATATATATAAATACATTTCTGCGATATTTTAAACATAAAGTAAATGTTTGTTTCAAAGTGGATTAACCATACTTTAAATCAGTTAATATTCCTCAAAGTTTCAGAAAATTATATTTTATTTTTGGAAGATTTTTTTTAATAAAGAGAATTACATTGTGATAAATGTGAGCTAAAAAAGGGAGCTATTCAGCCATTTTAACAAAAAGAAAAAAGCAAACTCCTTCCAGTCAATTTAAATTAATTTTGAAATACAGCAATGTATTTTTCTTGTTGGAATTATTAAATTTAATCTATGAGCTTTCAATTAAAAATGAAATAAAAGCTTCAAAAAAGATTTTTCATTTTAAAAAAAATGTATTTTAAACCTTAGATCTTTTTATTTTTCTAACATATATATATATATATTTTAAATATTTATTTTAATGAAGAAAAATATTGTTGAACATATTCTGAAGTTGAGCCTCCAAAATATCATTCTAGGATATTTTACCGTCTGCTAATGTAAAGAATATCGCGCGTCTCGTACGAGGTCGCTGATTGGTTAATATATATGAATACAAAAAATCAAATTTTTCGAGCATGCCACTGTAAAAATTGAATTACTTTCTTGAGCTGTACTTTACAAAAAAAATGAGTTTTCAGTGACGGTATTTAAATCTATGAACATTTTTCTACAATTCTGAAACTGAATTGATGGCGTCTCCAACGACTCTCTCCTCAGTCCTACCTTATTTCTGCCTCAGATCCTATATAAAGTACCAGGTTGAGAACTGGCGCGGGTAGCTGCCCTTGATGAGGGTGAAAGGAGTTTCTCTGAGCTTTGGTT